TAATGCTTATTAGTTAAATGTGGCTGCATTTCGACATCACTGCCTCTTTATTGATCATTTACACTGACTTGAAGTAATCTATTTCACATGAATTAACCTTTCAAATGCGCATTATACGCATAAGATTCTTCAAGTGACTAGGGATTTTTTTACGTAGTCTGTCACCCGTAGACTCGTTTGCAGAAGCCTAAATACTCGCGTTTGCTATAAATTTGCCCAAATCACTGATGAACTGAGGGCAATTGAAATAACAGCATGCTGAAGAAAACCAAGGAGAAGGTTTTAGTTCAGTCACTACTAGAATCAGCGTCTTAACGGAATGTTGCTGTCCGTTTTGGTTTACGTAGTTACATCTTGCGTCACCTAAGTTTAGCTCAATTCGTTGATGCGTTCGTTAGATATATGTCGCCATTTTCGTTTCAAACACTTGACACAGATTATCCTAGTGGGTGGTATTTCTTGCGCCGCGCACAGTTACAAGGTGTAAACGTGGAAACACAAGCACAGCAGAGCGACGTCCGCGCATTCTAGTTTTTGTTCCTTTGCCAGGAACGACGACCCACTTACGGCTCTATGTGGGCTCGGTCCCAAAGCTGTCTAATCTCATCTCGTGAATGAGTCCCACTACACGCCCGGATGCAAACCTGGTATGCGCGCCCACTTGTAGGAAGGCCACCGCTCGAATGGTTGTCAGTACCTCTGAGGTGACGTATAGCTTCTCTATCGCCTGGATATTCTGAGGCCGAAGCCATTATCAGCCTATGTGCTTAGCCTCGAGTGAAAACGTGTCTCGTGCCATTCAATCGCTTAGTGAGAGAGATCATGGGACGAACATTGTTTATACACAAAACGTTGCTGTCGAAGCTCATAGTAAGACATCAAGCCAACTCAAGAGGGCTATGCGAAGGAAGGAGGATGGTACCGATTGGGAGACAATGATCGAAGCGTAGACCTGCGTGTTATTACAAATGCAGCTGGTATGGGGACGTTCTTATTGTTGTCTATGTGGGCGGAACACATTCCTAGGTCGAGTGTGAATGGTTGCTTTTCATCGCACACACCGCTCAAAGCATCAAACAGATCCTTTCGATTATAGCACACGACGTCATCACAAGCGGAGCCATTCGGAAATCATTGCAAGTCGCAAGACTATTGTGGTGTATCTTTGTTCACGATAGGATGCTCTTCACAATAATTTTATCGGATCCTGTTCTCACGAATCACATGTAAATGACGTTACCGCTTTGTTTTAATTGCATTTTGCTTGTTTTCAAGCGAAATCCGTACTGACTGCCCTGTGAAGCAGGTATCAGTGGTGTTCTAAAGAAAGAAAAAAACAGCGGAAGAAACACGTGAGGTGCTTACCCAAAAAACCATTCATGCTCGTAGCTGCTACGCATGAAAAAAAAAATGTGAAGAACTAAATAAATGTTCTTTCTTTTCTGGAGATGCGGCTTCAATCTCAGTCCCCTCGGTCAGAAAGCGAGTGCCTTGACCACTAGACCACGCGGCCACACTTGCCCAATCTGAACTAAACTGAAGCGTGTGAATGCTTTTTAAGGACGACGCAAAAAAAAAAAGACATTGGGAAGCAGTACAATTTGCTGAGTTCTTTATTGAAATATGACGTATTGATGGAAGTAAAACCACTCTGCTGGACAACGCTTAATGTCAATATTAGGAACTGTGCATTTAAAGAAAATCCTAACTTTGAGAAAATTCAATTGCTGCCCCACGTTTCCACAATTGCATGATGGTCATTTCATTGGGCCATTCTATCGACTTATGAACGCTGAAAAGAATATAAAAGACGACATACCAATACAGCGCGAAAAAAGCGTTCCGGGGACGGCCCCGCTACCTAGAATAAAACTGAATTCTTACTTCAGGAGAGTTCATTGTGCAATGCGAAATAAATAAATAGATAAATAAATAAACAAATAAATAAATAATAAGGCAGTTTGTCAAGTACACCCACGCCACAATTGGCTGGCCAGCTTTCTGATTTTTTTAACAGACATATCTTTCCATTTTGATCTTATATGAGTGTGCATACAAAATTTTGTATCCAAACTTGTGCAGAACGTTGTGTGACATGGGATGAGTAGCAGTTGTATACGTAGGCCGAACTGTGCTCATGAACAGCATCCTGGTGCGTTAGCTTTAGTGATGGCGATATTTCATTTCTTTAGAATGATTGCTTGAGTACAAAAATAAATAATAATGAATAAACGTCTTTGAGGCAGTGCGAATACCTGTATTCTTACATGAAAAAACTTGCAATATGATTCCTCTATTGACAAGCACTTCAGACTACTTTTGTTGTACTGACATCGCAACGCTACTATGATTGTTGTTCAATGTCTCACTGGGTGCATCTTTTACTTTGATGTTTGTGCTTCGACAAAGTGGGCAGACGGCACACCAACATAAAGATATGTATCAGAGGAAACATTGCGCAAATATAAATAGTACATAGGTTACACATTGTTGCATCTAGTATGCAAATAGACTCCTTTGTACGCATAACAGCTAGTTGATATAAGGTTTCAAGAGCCATCTCACACATAGTTTTGTCCAACCGAAAATGCGGAACCGAAATAAAACTTTTCCGTAATGTACACATTTTAATAGCGAATGCGTGCCAATAAATCTGTCTTCATACATTGGAATTCTCTTGTCCTGAGGGTGTTTTTCTCCGAGAATATTCAAGAGTTGAGCCACAAATATGAGTCAATGTGTACGTATAAGAGGGAAAACGTCTATGTACACCGCGTTCCTTTTTCCAGGAACCATTCTAAGAACAATTTCGCAACTTTTTAATAAGTGCTACTAGTCCACGAAAAATAATTAATATGTCAGCCAAATGCCAGCGGTCACAACAAAACGCAAATCTACCCGAATGTTTACAAAGCTCTTTCAGCAATTTTAGGGCGCTCCAACGCGAATTACTTGGCATCAGTACGTACGTAACTGAACGGCCAAGAATACGCTGAACCGCAGTTGATTCCGTTCTATATAACGCTTCACAATAGAATCTGGTTGGCTTTGCAATACTTTTTTTCTGCCAAGTGGGCAACAGTGTCCTTTATTACGCGGGAAGATGCAGTTAAATATACAGCACAGACAACCAAAATTATACGTGGCAAAATTGCTCTCCTCTAAGGTATGGGCTCTCTTTCAAGATAAGAATTTTTAGGTATGCTTTTGTGGGTTCATTCTAGCTGTGTATCCCTCTTGAGAGAATAGGATTACTCAAGGTGCTTGCAGCGGCAAACGAGCATTTTCTTTACCCCCCTTCCCCCATACTCGACTCTTCTTGACCAAGTGGCGTACTTCTTCATTGAGTGAAAGCTAATAAAAAACAAACAATTCTGCCGAGAAACAAACATTGCCAGTGTGTCTCCGATGTTCGGACGTATGTTTGCGCTGAAGTTCGAAAGTTTGCTAAACTTGTCATTCGTGGAGCTTCCTTTTTTCTTGTTATATTTTATCACCGTTTCCTACACTTCAGCATTGGAAACAAGAACGAGTGATAGAACATGTTAAAATCCGCGACCGGTACCACCTTATCATTCTCCTCTTCAAGCTGCTGAAGACAGGCGTGCATTTCAACATGAAGAAACACTTGAAAAAAAATAGAAAGTAAAATAACACTCCATTTCATTATGTTCTAAAAGACATGCACCTCCTGGAACATAAGTTGAACCGAAGAACGCAAGTCGAATCTCTTTTGTTGTTGATTTTCGAAAGTATTCATTTTTGGGGTAAAAAGTAGGCATTCGCCGCAAAGGAAAAATACAATGATACAGTGCTACTTCAGACAATAATCTCGCACGTTAGGTACACGGATTCGATAGTACATGTACAGCTTTTGAGTTCGCACGTTAGACGTTAATTTTGTTATTTTTGTAATTCAGGAACAATGACCTATTTTTTCTAGTTCCATCTACTGGTTTACTGTATATTATAGAAGGAGCAGGCTGGAGCTCTTTAGCTACTGACAGCCCTGGCTGAAGTGCGTCGAGAACCGGTTCTTTCACTCAATGAACTGGAAAATCTTTCTTCATATTCTACTACCTTACGATTGCTTTACTACGTTTATTAGTGAATAAGTATATAACAAAAAAAAGCAACAGTAAAGCTACCAAGCTTATAAGTTACCAAAGAAAACTCAAATCACTTTTCAAAAAAGACAGCATATAATCATAATGTCAAAATATAACGCACGTATCAATCTAAACACAAGTACCAAGAAAAATTTGGTAAAAAACGAATAAATACTTTGAAAACATGGCCACATGCTACCGACATAACCACCTACAATTGTTTCCCTTGTGAATACAGGTACATTGTTGAAGTTAAAGTTGACCCAAGCAGTGAATAATGATAGCAGTTCTTCGACAATCACTTCTGCGGAAACATTGTCTAACGTTGTTAGGCAAATGGAAGTTTATGTACTTGTGGAAACAAAGGTTCTGCAGCAACATTTTAACTAAAAGTGTCTCTCCTTCGAACACGTGCTTACGTCGTGACTTGCCTTCGCCTACACAGTATGTCCTCAAGCGCTCACGTTCACTAATCATGATTATTTCTGTGTTTTAGCTGTATACGTGGCCGGCTTAATGCCACACTCATTTTGGATAGACGCCCGTCCTCTCGTGTCAGTGAGGCCACCTCGACCGAGAGGTCGAACGCGCCTACCTGAATTTATGTATATAAGTATACCCTCGACGACAGCGGCATGCGTAAAACCCTGGTGGTTCCTTTCGCGTCCATCGCGAAGCGTTGCTACCAACTTTGCACCGCAGTTGAATCGTCTCTTTGTCTCGCAATATGCTTGCCCGAACGGTCACCTAGACGGAGCTCGCGATACAAAGTACATCGTAAGTATGTCTGCTGTCAATTTTCAAATGTGTAAGACACTAGAAGATAGACGCGCATGCGGATGATTGGCCGCCGACAGCCTCGAGGGGTGACCCCTGTGGCGCGGCCCTTACCCGGTCCTTGGGACTTCGGTTGCAGGCCAGTCGAGGCGGATCCGGTGCGAGCAGAGTTCCCGACTGCGGCTCCGTGGCTTCTTCGCTTGGCCCGGATCCCAGAGAGCGGGCTTTATTTTGGGCCACTCCCTTTCCCACTAGAAATACTTCCGTGGCTGAGCCCCGGGAGAACGCGGACAATCGCGTCGGCGACGCCGCCGCCGGTCCTTGGCGCGGTCCACGCGCCCCTTCTGCGAGGCCCGCCACTGCGGGCACCGAAAAAGACCACTCGCGGACCACGCGTGTTCAACGCCTTGAGCACAACACGTGCGTGTGCCGACGCGTACCACGTTTTCTGCTAGAGTGGACGTGGTCATGCATGGAAGCGTTCCACAAGTGCCGTGCGCCCTGGAACCCAGAACTGATTAGCGGTACAACACTGCAGCTTCTTGGAAGGCCGGACGCCAAATTTCAATTTGTCTAACCATTATACGCTAAAATTCGAAAAACGCGGTTTTATACGAAGATCATTTCGCCCTATAGCAAAGCCTGTGATGTGTAGCTGCTATGTTTTGCACACTTCACTCTGGCGTTTAACTTCCGCGGAAGGAATCTCCTTTTCTCTTTAACTGTGGCGGCTCAGTTTAACCAACAAACACTAAAAAAGGCCACGAAAAGAATCAAAAAGCGAAAATGACGCAAGGGCATACTTTTATTTCATAACAACTTTAATGTGCTCTGAACTTCCGCAGACGTCCCCGCTCTCTTGGGTAAGAGCGCTGTGGTTTTCTTGAGGGTCGATTTTTAAATCGAGTTCCAAGATTTTATCTCAATCAGTTATTTTCTTTTGCCCGGATACTCGCAATTCTAATGTATACACACTGCAGAGTGACCTTCGCGGTCTGTGCGACAAGATACACCAAGCCTAACAGAATTGATCCCGCCTGGTCCCGGCCATTGAATGAATGGAGTGATGTGTTTTATTGATTTGGTGCCTGCTCTACTTTTTTAACGCAATAGAAAATAAACGAAGGAGTTTTTGTCACCGTTATTTGGCGACAGATACTCCTTTCCACTTCATTGTAACAAATAAAAGTAAAAAAAAAACAAAATTTGCGGCTTGGAGTTTCATGCCTGTTCATATATCTAGGCAGAGCCTGAGCTGTATTTCTAAATCACACAGTATTCACATAGCCATCGATCATCGGCTCCGATTTCTGTTTCCACACTTTGGAAAATATAGATGCATTTTCTAACGTAGGGTCTTGGTCAAAAGTTCCCATGTCACGCTTCCTCATAAATACATGGGATAGTGGCTTGGAAACTTTCGACCCACCCTGCACTTGCATTCATTATTTCAGGTATGTTCATCATGCTGCACACACTGTTTCTGGCGCAACAGCGTGCTTCGTTCTGTCTTTACAGCCTGCCATTAAACCCAAATGATAAAAGATAGCGAAATGTATTTAAAAATAATAAATAGAAGAATATGTATATTATGGCCCTTGCTGCTCCTGCTGCTTGCTGTGAAGTTTAGTTAAAAATTATAATTTTCTCGGCTGTTTAATTTTGAATAATATCAGAACATCGTAAATCACGACATATGCAATATTTGTATAAATTTGAAAGATATTGCTCTCAATCCTTAAATACATGATCATGTGCCCCCTAAAAAATGACGTATTTTATTCACTTCCTCAACGTTATAATTTACTCGTTTTTACAGAGCACTGCATGTCATGCTGTTTTATGTATAGACTGGCCGGCGCTGCACAGAACGTTGAAAGTTACGGGGAATGTTGACGTCCAGGCGTCAAGCAGTGTGTTTATGTTTATTGTCCTGAGCAGTTATTTTAAATGCTAACTAAAACAAGACTCCTTCAAAATATATTTAATGTGCTTCTGTATAATATTTAGGCTACTCTATACCTTTTCTTATTTAGTGACAGGCGTATTTTGTGCCTTACGATACGTGATACCTCAAGACATGTATCCAGCATAGAAATACTGATGCTTGTTTTGAGAAATGTGTAGTAATGCAGATACAAAATACCCTAACGACATTTTAAGATGATACCTAAGATACATGTTTTATCGCCATTCTCCTTCCGAAGCGCTTAACAACTTTTTTTTTCTTATTCTGTAAATTGTGGGTGAGTGTTTTGCTTTTGGTTTCATTCTACTTTGAATAGCTTTCATGTTAGCAATTTATTTATTTAGTTATAAACCTTGCACCCCAGAACTAGTACATTATTCATATCGATTATTTTCTTGTTTGTATTGCATTAGTTTTGCCTACTTCTTTAAAAGACGGAAGAACTGTTTTTGTGTGTCATGTCGTAATGACGTGCTTTTGCGGAGCACTGTTATGACAAGAATTGTGCATCACTCGAAACAGTCGACAGAATCAGGAAGGGCAAAGAAGACTGTCTCCTGTAAGACAAAAAGTTCATTTCGCTACTGAAGGGAAGTAATAAATGCGATAGCAACCGATTAGATTGTTATGCGAAGTATGGCTGGCAGCTCGCTCCTTGAGCATCAGACCGAGTGTAACTAAACAAAATGCCCGTGTAGGAAAGCACAGTTGCTGCAATGAATGAAGTGACCTTCATGCTATCTGTGGCTTTAACGCAGACTTCAGACAGAGACTGTAACACGTACAATAGTATGAACCATCCACTAGTCTTCTCTACAGATTGGAAACACGCCACCGTGGGCGGCAACTCCGGCACACCTCCATGCGGCTTTCGCGAGACAGAGACGAGCCGGCGCGTTTGTCTTCTGCTCCAACCGCGATCGTCGGTAGTTCTCGCATGCTTTCACCCGCACATAGACAACACGACGCAAGGGGAGATTTTAACTTTCAACATAACACGACGGCAACAGCAAAAATTCGCCTGTAGTGCCTATAGATTTGCCATCGCAATAAAACTCCGAAGTAACGACACGAGAACATTGTATACCACCATAAAGCAGCAGATTTCTGAGGCATATGGTGCTAGTTATAGAATTTATTTTTTGTTGCGACTAGGGCACCAGGTAAGGGGATGCCACAGCCCCCACGAAGGGTTAGGAGACCTTAGAGCTCAACATTTAGGACTGCTTTTCTTTCAGAACAACAACTGTAATAAAAAAAGACGTACAAGGAATAAGGTGATTACAGAGACATGTTCGAATGTCGACATACTACACCAGGCATTTCCCGCCATTCTTCAAGAGTGACCTCTTTCTCCATTGGTGGTGATCGATTGCAATAGGTTGAGGAGGAATGACCTCGAGTGGCACAGTCCAATCGCGGCGTCGGCGCAGAACGTGTGCGGACACCCCGCTAATAAATTGCTGGCCTGGTTGTCCTCGCTACCCCCGGACTAGCTCACTGGATTTTGTCCTCGCTACCCCGGACTCGCTCGCTGGATTTCATGCCGACTGGTTGTGCCTCCGTGATCGCCGACGACAGCGCAGCTCTGCCCGACTGGCTCACCTTACGCCATCTCCCGACGCCGACAATAGCTTTCGCTGAGTGGTGCCCCGTCCTTGGGCTTCTGCGACCGTCTCCGTCTTTCCTATCTTCTCCTTACTTCCGTATGTGGCTGTCCCTGCGCCTCTCTCTCTTCCTGCTCCTCTCTCTATCTCTCTATCTGTATACCTCCTATCCTTTTTATCCTATCCTTGCTATCCTTTTTAATCCCTCCTTACCCCCATCCCTTGCGCAGAACTGTGGAGGTTTTCTCCATTGAGAAAGAGGCTGTAACGGAACTGCGCTTAGTTTTCCTTTTCCCGTTTCAAAAGTCACTTATTCCTCGCTACCCCTGTTTTCTTCCAAAGTGCGCTGTTTTCTCAAGAGATCCCATTGCAGGGAAAGCTAACAAGACTACGGCGAGGTAGTAGTGACAGCGTCGAAAGAATAGACGGGAATGCGCGTTTGGCGTGGTTAACCCGGCCGCCTCGGATGCACCTGCACGCTTGTGCACGTCGTTATCTCTTTCTTTGTTGTTTTTTTTTATATTTAGCACCGAAACTTCGCATCACAGTTGTTCAAAAATAAAAGACGACTTTGGTCCGCAACGTGGAAAATATTTCGGGAACCACAGACCAAACGAATGGAGCTAGTTCAGAAAGTACGAGGTGGAGTGGTGGCTTGCTCTTCTTAATTCGGTGACAAGGTGCGAAAAACAGCATTGACAAAAATTAAAATAGGGAAGCTTTCTGTCTACAGGTTGATTTTGTGGCAGGGGTGACCAAGGCAGGATTGCATTATCTGACACGTAAAGAGCCTTTTTCAAGGGTGACTTGTTTTGCGCTCCGTCGCGTTATCAGAGCGTCAGCCTTACAAAAATGTTTAGTAATCATAAGTTGACTGTCTAAAGACGATTGTTACTAGAACCTACCAACAATCAAAAAGTGTCTACCAACTGTCTTTAGACTGCTTTACAAACAATCTGTCAACACTCTGGCTGCAATTGGCCATGAACTTTGAACAGAATCGTGTTCAAAGACTGTCTGGTCACCACGTAGTAACGCCCTATCAACAATGTTCAATAGACGTCCTCGTAACATTCTCTCAAAAGAAAGACTTCCATAGGCTGTCTGATGACCACGTAGTAACGCCTGATCACAGTGTTTAATAGACGGCCTAGTAACATTCTCTCAGTAGAAATACTGTGCGTCAGCAGTCTGTTGACCATCTTGTAACTTGTCTTTCAATACAGACTGTTAGTAAATGGTTACAATAGCTCTATTGAAGCATGTTCGTACACGCTCTGTAAATGGTGCGTTGGTACGTCTATGCGGTTTAACGCCTCACAGCGACTCAGGACACCGTATGGAGTGCTCTGGATAACATCACCCAATTGGTGCTACTCTAGCATTTCTTCTCCGCCAAAATACGGCCACCACGCACAAGGTTGAACTCTCGTCTTTCAGATCAATAGTAAAGCACCGTAAACACTAAATCCCCATGACGGTTACGAACACTGCCAGCCATGCCTTTCGGCAGCATGCGAAGGTGTATATGTGTGAACGAGTATCTAGTACAAGCCAACGCAATCTGAAAAATGCGTGAGCGGGGAAAAATGGAGGAAAGATTGCACTAATACTCAAAATGCTTGACACTAGTA